CTCCAATTTTACCTAGTTTAACAAACTTTTGCCATAGAAAAAATTTAAGTCATTATTACACTGTAAATCATTGTTCTCTCCTTTTCTTAAGTAGTTTTTAGAGTCAGAGATATATAGATGTAAAAACAAAGATACAGCAAAGTTAAATTTTCATTAGAGGCAGTAAAGACTTGGAAGTCAAAAATTAAAATATAGCACTAACAAGATCTAAGTTATTGTAACTTATTTTTTAAATTAGCTAATTTTTAAAATGTTGCTACAGAGAAGTCTAACTTAATCCAAAATATAAACACGCCCCAGGAAAACTACTTACCATTATTTTAGGGGTGGGGAGGGAAGGTGTATTACAATACAGATGACTATTAATACTTTGTGGGGACAAAATACAATTTATACCAATACATCCGGAATAAATAAAGATGGCTGAATTTACACCCTTCCCTCTCCCATTCATTTCAAGTTATCTGTGAGTAAAGATTAAAAAAAACTTTTCTCCTAAGGGAAAATATTAAATCAAGTTTAAGGGGAATAAACAATGCAGATATAGCTTTCCATCCTCAATCACTATTTTAAAAGTGAAGCAAATCATAGCTTTTGACTTACTGGAAACCACATTTATTTTAAATGTTGGCCTCATCACTCAATGTTCTTCGGGCAACAAAGAGCCTGATCCTAAGCAACACTAAAAACCTAATGTAATCTCAAAAATTATGAAACTATTTTAATATTCACAAAATGGCACATTCAAGGATGCAATATAAACTTTTCCTTGTTCTTCTGACAACTAGTATTTTGGTACTTTGCACATCAGTTACACATGTGAAGAAGTTGAACATCTATGGTGTTATTCTGAGACAAAGCTCGATTATTTCTTTTCCCCCCACCACAATCTTGAACCCATCTTCTCTTTCACATCATGTTTGGAAGAAATATCACATAAGGTGAAGAATGCCACAGCCAACAGGCACGGCACATCAGCCTGCTGAGGGCAGAATTTCTCAGAGAAGGAAAGGTCCACAACAAAGGTGTACGGCTTTTCTTTTTAATGAATCAGGCCCATTCAGAAGAGAGGGTTGATTTTTTCCTGTATCACTGTTAATACTATCGTGGAGATTTAAACTGGAGGGAAAGCCAACCATTAAAAGACACGACTCTACAAATATAAATGTATTATTTAAATGTATTATTTCCAGTAGAGTAATTCATATGCCTTATTATGTGACTTGACTTTTAAAATACTGACCTACCCCTAATTCTCCCACTTGGAACTTTAATTTAAAGCAGATTCATTTTTAAAAGCCATAGCCATTTACAAGCAAAAAAAAAAATTCTGTATATCTCTTAGAAGTAATTACGGTATTTTTTTTAAAATGTCTGTGCTCACTAGTTTTATTTATCACAGAAGAAGGAAGCTGAGAGACCAGCGTCAAATCCTCGACTTGTATTAACTCTGGGGAAAGTGGTGATTTAGGGGGCTTTATACACCCAGAAGAATCTCCAGATTCTTGTTTGCATTTCTTGCTGCGAGCCTTTCCTGAAGACAAAGTTGAGGATAACAGTGCAGGTTTCTGAATGTTGGCAGAACTGCTAATATCAGCTTCATTTTTTTTCTGACTTTGTGGTTTAGGTGAAATCTCCTGAATAAATAATAAAAAATTGATACTTTTATTTCAGTTCTTCGCTGTAGTTCTTGTATTCTATTTTGATCTTTTTAAAAGCAACTTTAGTATTCAAAACACATTTTAAAGCAACATCATTTTCAGTACAAATGAAAACTATTTAAAATGCATCACATTAAACGTTTTTTTTAAAGGAGCACTATCAATTATTTTCAGTATTCAGAACAACCTCATTTCTCACTATTTGAAATACCTGCAAAAAGTCTGAAAACAACACATTTTTCCTCTGTTCTTATTTTAAAAATTCACTGAAGTGTTTTTAGTTTCTGTCTCTCACCTTCAGTAGACCAGGACTGACTGTCAGTGCCGTCTCAAAGTGTAGCTTGAGGAACACTCGTTACAAGCCAGAATACATACCCTGATCTACAATCACAGAATGATTCTCAAGTTGGAAAGGACTCATCAGGATCATTGAGTCCAACTCCCTGCTCCTCACAGGACTACTGAAAACTAAACCATATATGACTAAAAGCATTGTCCAGACGCTCCTTGAACTCTTGACGGGCTTTTATACTGCTATGAGCAAGCAACCTCTTGTTCAGAGGACTGCAGTTCTAAAAAAAGTTGTCAAGATTTTCCCTTCAGTCATTTCCCTAACCATAGCAAATCAAAATTTAAGGAGTTCCTCAGGAAAACTGTGTTTAGCATAAATTTCATTTTTTAGAGAAGAACCTGAAAAAGTTGATAATGCTCCTTTATAGAATGTCTGAAAACAATAAAAAGTTTCCAAATACTGAACACACTCTCACACAACCCCTTTCAGTGCTGGGAGTCTGGATTTCACCACGTTATATGTTTGTGCAAACACATGAAGAAATCACAACTTCTAGCACCACAGGGTTAAATAGATTGCTAACTGTTGGGGAAAAATGAGCAGATAGAGTTAAAACAGTTTTTGAAGGAGAAAAAAAAATAATCAATATATAATGCAGCTTTCCAATTTAATCAATTTTCATCCTTCTTAACACACATACTGAAGTATTATTTTTAGACAATTGGCATGCATTGACAGACATTAGCATTTTAGATTTTTACTGGAAGGAAATTCTTCCTACTTTACCGAATAAGCTGTGCATGTGTTACAACTTGCCCAATAATGGCAAACTACAATATCTGAACAGAATTTCTTAAACCTGTCCCCTTTCTTGTACCAGTGACATCACACAGCATAGTACCATCTAATAAAACCGTAACTAACAAAGCAGAAAGATATTTCTAGAACATGTGCACCACTTTATCCAAACTAAAAACGTCACATCTCTCATGATTGGAGGGTATTATTGGCTTTTGTTATAAATCGCAATTTTATTTTCCACTGGAACTTTCCATGTTTCAATGGAAAAAAAAAAAGGCAAAAAAAGCCACAAGTGCACATTCTATGTTTGTAAAAGGGCACCCCTGAATGCTACATGAATAGCTCGTTGGAAGTATCATGTAAAGATCCGGTATAAAACATCCCATTCAGCAGACATCAGTTCTATCTTGAGAATAACTCAATTACACATGTACTAAGTGCAGTTTATTCACTTAAATAAAATATTCCATGAACTGTAGAGTATACCTATGCTGGTTATCAGAAGTATTACCAGAAATTAATTAGAGTCGTAACTTGTAAATAAACAATTTTATTGTTCATCTTCACAGATGTGAAAGACATTACTACAGCATCCATTACTTTCAAATTACAAAGTTATTTAAACAAGATTAAAAAAATTAAATTAATATTTTGATAAGGTGCTTAACCTCTTAACAGGACAAATTAACATTAAAAACCTTAATGAATTAATGTTATTCATCTAATCAGGTCTTGGTCAAAAGGAAATATAACATGACATACCCTAATACAGTTAAATAAACTACTGTATTTGCAACTAATCATCTGAGGTTTTGGGTTTAAGACAACTGTAAACTAAAAATATATAAATATAAATAAAATAAAATAAACTTCCATCAACAAAGTCAGTTTTCGGCTATTGGCCTGAATACTTCTACCATGTTCTGTATTACATTATTAAAAAACCCTATAAGATAATTTTACCCATTCAATTTTATAGCAGTAGCAGACAAAACCTCTAAGGAATGTCAGCTTTGCTATTGGAAAACCTTTTCCGGACGTTTATAACTTAGCCATTTTAATTTGAATTTGGGCAGGAACTTAGTGAAAAAAAGCTTTAAGCTCAAAAGTTTTCCTCCCCACAGTTAATCATTTAAATATTTGTGAGGTTTCTGTTTTTTGTTAGAAGTGAAGGAATAGGACAATTTGGGATTTTAGATGCCTCTTTCAAGGAGCTTAATTAGTATTTCCAAAAACGAGGTTTTTCAGACCATTAGCATGTAAACAATGACGGAGACATCTTTTTTGATCTCTAATCAATAAAAGAGAAACAGCCAAGTTACTAAGTGTAAGAAGTAACAAGAAGGTTTTAGTAAATATGCACTGTCGTTGGTACTGTTGCATACACAGTCCGTGTAAACCACAAAGTCCCACTCGCCGCAATGGGACTCTGCGTGAGAAGATTTACACTGTAATGATTCTTCCAAAAACAACATGCTGTAAGCCATTTCACAGTTTTTTGCACATTGAGAATATCACACACAGTAGCAATAAAATCATAGCATCTTTAATATGCAAAAATTTGAGAAATGGAGTGTCATGTCAATACATTGTAAACCTCTATGCAAAATATCGGTCAATGCATTGACACCGTAGTGGCTCCGTTGGCCGGTACAGTGACCGCATCAAGAACAGAAAATCGTGTTCCATTGACATCCGATGCAGTGCCAATGGAAAAACCACAGCAATGCAATTGTGTATCAGCTCTAAGGAACCAGTACAACCAAAATATCAAATACAGTTTGGGGTGGGGAACGTTCATAGAGTGTGCCGGGGCTTAGGAACGGAAGTGCTCTTTTAAGAATTGCAGGCAGCAAGGCTGGTTTTATTCAAACGCTGCTGCTGAAGAAGAATGAAAACGAATACAAAAAAGCTGTATTAAAACTACATTAAGGCTCTGATTTAACTCACTGGAAAACAAAGATGTCCTGAATCAAGACTACTGTTCATCTTTAGCTTGCTTTACCATGCTTAGGCATCCAGCCCTTTTAATATGCAAGATAACGCACAACTCTGAGTCGAGCAATGCCTGAACACAATGGAATAAGCCAAAGATAAAACGGCAGCCGTCAGGTCCTGCAAACATGCAGGTTTAAAAATCAGACCCTTAACATTATTTAAAAGTTTCTTTTTTGTATTTATTAAAATACACACCCTTGAAAAACGTATGGCTCATTGAGCAGTTCATAAAACACATACAAGCCTACAACACCAAATTCTTACAATATAAAAGAAACTTCTTTTAAAAGAAGTTCTATTTGATGTCAAAAACTCTGTTTCAAACACAAATTGAATTTGTGTAATGGCCTTTTCCTCAGCCAGTCATGGTCATGGTTCCAGCTACAAAACTGGACCTTGGGACACTGGTCTCCTCACATTTGTTGCACGGAGACTTCGTTTTTCTTTGTTTTCTGTTAGTTTCCTAACACAAAAGCTCATTACTGAAATTCAAGTCAACACTGTGTTTAGAGACAATTCCATCCTTCTGGCTCTGCCAGAAATGTAAACATAAGATCAATTTTCAGTTCCCTATTGTATCTGAAGGGGCAAATTTTAATGTTGTAGGTACTACATCTCCATGGCACACTCCAGTGGGAACCTTGCAAAAGAATCAAACTCTACCATTTCATACCTGCTCCAGGACTGGAGCTGTTTCTTTGTTGCCTTCCTTTTTTTCAGCACCATCCGCAACAACAGCTTTGGATGCCAATAAACCTTAGGAGAAAAATTGCAGACATTTTTAGTTAGAAGCAGCTTGCAACAAGAATTTGTGGAAAACAAAGGAAAACAGTGAGATCAGAAATACAAACTGCTTATATCTACAAAATAATTCTCTCTGAAACACCTCCACACAAAGTCAAACACTTTAAATTAGAAGAAATGGACGGTCTTAAAGGACGGCCCCATAACTGTGCCCTTTCACAAGGGGTACTTCTCTGGTATTTCCATTAACAAGATAAAAATCAAATTATCAATTGTAAAATAATGCCTCATCATCCTTTTAAAGCCCAAGCACTTGGGCTTTAAAAACCAAACCTATGACACTTAAGCAAATTTTCAGCTCTCAAAATTATTTACAAGCCTTTTCTATCTCTCCCCTTTCCAGTCTTCAAGAAATTCCCATCAGAATTTGTATCACTACTTCTTAACTTTAACACATGCAAGCTTTTCTTAGGTAGACTAGAACAAAGGATTTAATTTCCAAATGAATATTCTCAGCAGTGGAGCTCCCAAGTTATCTCAATAATAAGACCATATTGGGAGCAAATACATCAGAATATATCTCTTCATTCATGAACTCATATACAATATCACTACTATTAAAAAAAGAATCTGTAAAAGACAAGGCAACATAAATAGGAGGAAGTTTTTTGTTGGCTAAGCATATAGCAATAGCTTCAGTTCTGCTTCACACAAGAACTTCAATTACCAAAGTGTGCCGAGGAAGAAAAAGTTATATGCCACAAGACAAAGCAGAACTGATAAAACCTGAAAACCACAAATCTGAATAAAAGTTACTATTACAATCCTTGGGAATGTCAATACTGGGGGTGAAGAGTTTAAGTTCTCAAAAATAACTTGAGCTGGCAGATCCACAGGAAATTCCTATTGCATTCCATGAAAAATTAGGTGTGCTGAAAATTAACTTACAGGGTACAATGCCCAAGGAATTATAGATTAGTGAAGCCTGGCTTTCAGGAAGCATTTATGACATTAAAAAAAAAAAAAAAGGAAAAAATCCAAACATGCACACAAAAACCAGTGTGGTATTTTGCTAGAGAGTTATCACATTTCAGCATTCCACAATAAATACTAGGTGCTTTTTTTCCCCATTTACTCTTTATGTTAGATTAAGTTACGCTTCAGTTTACTGGAAAGTAGTTATGTTTTAAATCAACTTTTTTAAAACATCACACCCATAAGAAGAGGTGCAAACTAATTGATTTTACAGTTAAAAAAAAAAAACAGAAACTTACTTAGCCCTACTATATTTATACAAATAAAATTGTCAGGTAAGATTTTAATTCTGCATTAGGCTTTGTAAAAGATTTAGGTTTCATGGACCTAAATAAACATTTGTGACTCAAATTATCCTGTTTAAATCAAGTTGCAAAATCAGCAATGTTCTTTACATTGACAACCATGCATCTACAAGGAAAACCGTAAAATAATTTTCAAAATCAAGTGAAGTCGAGTTTAAATACCAAACAAGCTACAGTTTATAAGGCAACTTTTCTGGTTCTACAAAGCACAGGTTGCCCAGAGAAGCTGTGGATATCCCATCATTGATGATGTTCAAGGACAGGCTGGACGGAGCCTTGAGCAACCTGACCTAGCAGGTGTCCCTGCTCCTCCTCACGCTAATACACCAGCAGGACTACAGGTTCACCATTCGCTGTCAGTAACAGCATATAACAAACACAAAGCATGGGGTGGCACAGTGAACCAGAGGTGGTGTGTTCTGTTAGCTTGCTGCAGAAATTATCTGTTCTTTTAGGTATCAAGACTGCAGCAGGAGACATGGAAGTAAGCATTCCAACAGAGGACTGGAATCGGAAATTCAAATTAATTGGAAGAAGACATTAATACATGTTTAGCAGGAGACATCCTTCACCTTTGGGAAATGTAATCTCCCCCAGTGGCAGCAGCAGAAGGAAAAGGAGCAAAGGAAGCAACTTTATTTTGTTGAATGGTGAGCAAAGAACACCAGATGCAGCTGTGGCCCTGGTAGCAGAATGTTCTCCTTGTCTGCCACAAATACTAAATGCTGAATTTAAATCCAAAAAACAGTTCCCTTCAGACAGCCTCCTACAACCACATAATTTGCTCTATTTTCCCCAATACAGCCATAAGACACTTGGTAAATGAACGTTTTCCTAAAAACTACCATGCTTTATACAGCCATTCTGATGTGTACACCAGCACAATTCCAAACCTTCCTTCAAATCTAAAAGCTCATGTTGGAGACACAAACGACAATTTACCAGTATTTCCAGCATAAGAAATAAGTACGTAGCATGAGGAAGTTTGATCATCAGCAGTTACATTTTTCAAATATTCTGCACTATATGCAACAATTAAAAACCTACTACAGTATGAATTGCAGAAGTGTGTTAATTCGAGAACGGTCACACAAAGTAACTACCAAGCATGACAAATTTCATCTTGTAATTAAAGGATTAATCCACTTTCACTGAATGGTAACATAATCTCTGATAGCAGAGTATGCTTTCATGCAGAGAGACAGTTTTTAGAATGATAACAAAATCAATGGCTGCAACATCATGTTTTCTGATTATTCAGTTCAGTCTACATGAGCCCATCCAACTGCTATTATTCTCACAAAGCTCTTCAGGAAAGGAGAATCTATTCACAAGCACAGAAAATTATAATTTCTGGAGTGACAGGTTTTTCAGCTGGTTTTGGCATCTTCTGCTACTAACTGCTACTGGAAAGAAATAACAAGGCTCTGTAAATATATATCACTAGAATATAGCTTGTACTTCTACTGCTCACAGCAGCAATTAAACTGGGACTTATCGGAGGGTGTTTGCAGTATGGGCAAAGGAGGAGAAACGAGCTTGGTAAGTCGACATTTGTTAACTAAACTTGGTACCAAACAAGATTACTTCCAGGAAAGAAAAACCTGGAGGCAGAAGATGAGTTTTTCTAAAGATTACTTCCTTCATATCATGTTCTATATGGGCTCATTATTTCCTCCTTTACATTGAAGTACTGATTGAGGGACTGAAACAGAACCACACTCACAAGAAAACTGAACAATTATCCTCAACTGCTGACCTATGAAAGGCTAGATCGGCCAAAACAGGTCTGAAAAAAAACTCATAATGAAGTTTAGCAAATCAGTTTATTTTTACCTTATAGAAAAACGTGAGACTTTTTACATGAATGACCATAGGGGCCTGATAGTATCCACCCGAGAGTCCTGAGAGAGCTGGCGGATGTCATTACCAAACCCCTGTCCATTATCTTTGGGCAGTCTTGGCTCACTGGGGAAGTTCCGCTGGACTGGAGGCTGGCGGATGTTACCCCCATTTACAAAAAAGGGCGGAAGGAGGATCCGGGGAACTACAGACCTGTCAGTCTGACCTCGGTGACGGGCAAAGTCATGGAACAGGTTATCTTGAGTGCTATTAATGAGCACATACAGGTTAACCGGGTGATCAGGCCCAGTCAACATGGGTTTATGAAAGGCAGGTCTTGCCATACAAACCTGATCACCTTCTATGATGGGGTGACCCGCCTGGTTGACAAGGGAAGGGGCTGTGGATGTAGTTTTGCTTGACCTCAGTAAAGCCTTTGATACAGTCTCTCATAGTGTTCTGGTTGAGAAACTGATAACTGCTGGCCTGGATAGGCACACCCTCCTTTGGGTTAAAAACTGGCTGGATGGTCGGGCCCAAAGAGTGGTGGTAAATGGGGCTAAATCCGGCTGGAGGCCGGTCACCAGTGGGGTTCCCCAGGGCTCAGAGCTGGGTCCGGTTCTGTTTAACATCTTTATCAATGACCTGGATGAGGGGATTGAATGGACCCTCAGTAAATTTGCGGACGACACCA